ATAAATAATTATGCTTACATAATGTAATGAATACAAATCCTTTGACCGTAAGAGTGTTACCGTTTGAGCGTATAAAATTTAACACAAAATTTCTGTACTACATGTATGCAAAGCATATAAGGTTGAAAAAAATAATAAAAGGCACAAATATTCAATACAATAACTATGAAAGAGAAAAGCATTAACAAGTCACAGTCATAATATAATTAACGTTTTTGGATATATTCAGAGCATGTGTTTCAAACCTACCCCTATATATAAATTAATTAAGAATAAAGGAGATTATCATAAATAATATTAATAGAATGAATGTGTTATACTGAGAACCTTTATATTATATATGTACATATACATTTTAACAAATGAATTGAAGGTCTCTTTGCTTTATAGTTTTTACAGTATATGCCTAGCTTAAACACTTATGTGGTATAAAACTGGCTTAAATACTTATATTTGTAATTTATTAGTGTCATTCCTTTTACACTTGTATTAACATTAGTATACATCATTCCTATGTATTACATATTAGATATACAAACGAGGGCTGTCCCAGAATTAAGTAGCCTAACCAAGAAAACACAATAATTTTGACAAAATTTATTTTTATTTCTCAACATAATCCCCTTTTAGGTCGATATACTTGGTCGATACACTTTTGCCAACGGTGTTGAATTGCTTCGATACCATTTTTATAGTAAGAACTGGGAAACTCTGCAAAATAGCTATAAACGCCAGACTCTACCTCTTCATTTGTAAAAAATTTTCTTCCACCAAGCCATTTTTTCAAGTTCGGAAATAGAAAGTAATCTGAGGGGGCTAAATCTGGTGAATAGGTGCGTGAAGAAGCAGTTCAAACTTCAATTCATTAATTTTTGCCATGGCAATTGCAGATGTGTGAACTGGTGCATTGTCTTGATGAAACAACACTTTTTTCTTCGTTTTACTTTGATTTCTTCACTCAAACGCTGCAATAAGTTTCCATAATACTCGTAAATATATTATATTAGATTAGTAATAAACTAGATTTAATATTTTATATTTAATATTTAATTTTTTTCCAAAATATTTAATTTTTTTCAAATTAAAATCTACATTATTATTTGATTTCCAAATCAAAATCAAAAATAATGTAGGCGGAAATTTGGAAATCAAAATGTTATTTACTGTCAATGTCATTTACTTTTATCAGAATGGCAACACTAATTTAGTAATTTTGACATTAAAAAAATTAACTGTTATGTTTATTATTACTATGTAGTATGCATGTATTTCTTATTTATAAACAATACTAAAATATAAATAATAATGAAAAATGAAATCAAAAGGAAAAAGTCAAAATAAATTATTCGGTTGACTTAACATGTGTTCAGCATTTATAATCTTAAATTAATGTTGTCATGATTTTTCCCTACCTTCTATCGCGAGCTGGTCAAACAAAATATATAAACAAAAAATTGTAAGTGAAAATAACTTATCATAGATATGGAAAAGAAAATGAAAAGAAAAAAACCTTCTTCTTAAAGAAAATTAATTACATTAATTTTCTTTTGATTGAATAATAGTCAAAGAACAATAAATACATTATAAGAATTGAGAGAAGAAATATACAAATAGACACAAAAACAAAATGATTGAAAGGAAATCTATGAAAAAATATTAATTGTTACTTCAATAAATAACGTTCATGATTGTGCGTTCATTTATAATTAAATATAAATTATGTATGAAGTGCATACTTATTATGTATGATTACGGGGCAATTTGTACGGCAGGGTTTAATTTTAAATAATAGAATATCATTAATCATTTCATTAAGAAATTTATTCAAATCGAAAATGGTAGTATTCTCACTCTCTTTCACAAAATATTTTCGATTTTTTTTTTTCATTTTAAAGTTTAGAATTTTAAAATCATTTTTGCTATTTAACGACGTACACACACATATTTCAGACATGTACATATAATTATTAAATACTGAAAATTTTATACCAACGGTACCATGCATGTACAGTAATAGCATTAACGATTTACAAGTTTTCGATAATATTTTCATTAAAGATAATTAATATTTCGTGTATTCGCCCGGGACAAATTTCGAAAGCGCTACCAATAAAAATATCGAATATGGCTGTAACTAATCTGATTATCACGAAATTTTATAAATCATTTCAAAATTGGGATCTTTATAGAATCAAAACTATCCCTTCCAAGCGATTAAAAAAAAAATCAATAAGAATTATTTTGGTCGTATTAAAATATATTTTGTCGAAAGTGACTTGTTGAGAACTACGTAACATAAGACACACCCTTTGAGACGAAAGAGTAAAAATGCGCGGCCTACAACAATAACATTTAATTGACATCTGTTTGAAGTGAAACGTTATACGCTTGTAAAGTATTTGTCCTCAAACTTTATAAAGTTACGCTTAAATTTCCCTAATATCATTTTTTTCTACAATGGTTCACCCACCTATATAATAAATCTTACTATTTTAAAGATAAAATTATTACAAAATTATGCTATTGTATAAGAAATCAATTAAATTGACAGCAAAATCATTTATTTTCACGCTTTTCATATCACTTTATATATGGTGTTTTTAATTAAATAAATTGGAATTTTAATAATCGAATGAAAAATTTCTATTCCAATAAATCTTAAAACATAAATAGCTAACTATATACAGTAGTAAAAACTAGTAGCAAAATTAATTTATTTACTGCACATAAGCCGAACACATAATATTAATAGTTCTCGTGTGGAATCTATTGCAAAATAATTTTGTGTACATTTTGATCTTGTTCAAATGTTATACGAATTTAAGATTTAAAAAATTTTAGAATTCAAAATTCATTTGATTTAACAAATGGGATTTTAATTGGATACGGAGGGTTGGGTTATATAAAAGTTAAAAAATGTTGAAAATTTAAAATCAATTTATTTATAGTGTACAGGAATTCCCTTCGAAATCGCTTTACAATTGTATTCGTTCAATTGTCAGAAATCGTAAAACTTGCTAATAATTTTCTTATTTAATGCGGGTACGAAGTGCAACTTGTAATAAATTAATTAATCAAAGCTTCAAATTTTTAATTGAGATTTTTTTCATTAAACTTTAATAATACAATTGCAATAATTCTTAAACAAACAATTAAGAACATAAATTGGTAGTCATAAACGCATTATATAATTTTTAATTTATGACAAATGTAATGTGTCATTTTGAACGCAATTAAAAATATCAAAAAATTTGATCGATCATAGCGGGAGAATATTTTATTCGTATGCTATATATACCATACACACATATAATTTTATACGAGCACACACGCATGTACAGATGTGTGATATTGTGTGATATTCTGGTATTTTTTTCTTGAAATTACTTTAAAAATAAATTCATTTAATTCACGTATATTGATTTATTATTAAAATATATGAAATTAATTAATAAACTTTTCATTAATATAAAATATTTTTTATTTATCATAGAATTTGATTAATCATACTTTCAATTTTCATTCATCTGTCATTCATATTTTAACACATACATACAAATTTAGTTTAATTGAATGTAGAACTCTTGCTAATTATGTACGTGTGAAAACTTAACCTAATTTCGATTATATTTTTTTTACAAAACTTAATAGAATTGTCTTTCACACTTTTACAAATTTCAAGATGTTTTCGGACATTTGTTTAATAAAATTATAAGAAAATTGTTTTTCCACGTGTGGCAAGTGTTCTTTGCTTGAAAAAAATTAATTAACTATAATATGAAATATTAATTGAGGAAAAAGTATTTTTATATTCCTGTATAGTACATACAGGGTGATACAGAAAGGTATACAGTAACATACAACAGTGGTTGAAAATTTGTTTGAGGCCCCTACCGGAACTAAAGTTTTAGGCAAAAACACTTGGAAAAGTATAGAAATTTTGTGAAAATTCGTTAAATTCTGTGAATCCTTGAAACACTTGAGATTTGACACCCAGTTTGGAACAAAAATTTTATCCATTTTTAATACTCTAACCAATGATATAAGTTGTTCAATATTTTTGTGAACAACCCTGTATATTCATATATTTGATGTAGTAGATGGACTTTGCTCAATTGCTATGAGTTTTTTATTTTTAAAGTTAATAATTTATGTGTAGCAATCAGACCCCCACAAATTTTGAAGCAGTATAGTGCTTAATTAACTAATTATCTAATATAAAACTTATTAGATATACTTATTTCAAGAAAGACTCTCGAATTATCATTTCTATCATAGTCAAATAATTTATTATTAGTAGTAGCCCTCTAAAAGTTGAAAAAAATTTTAAAAATTTGAACAAAATATTATTTATGAGATCATTTAAAAAATTTCAGCTGAATTATTGGTTATTAACCTATGATTATAAAAAATTTAATTTTGCAATTGGACATAATAGTGTCTTGGTACGTACTGTAAGAAAAATATGAATACTTTTTGATATCTCTAGAGAAGTACTTTTGAAAATGATAAGAAAACACAGCCGGAAATTCAAACGTGTTTATAAATTATGTTATTGACATTGAAATATATACGTACGTGCAAATGTAAACCTAAAAACAATTTAATATTTTATACTACGCCCATAAATATGCAATTTTATTTTCAATTATTTATAAATGATGCATAAAATTTCTTTTGTAGGCTCTACTAACCCCAGTGCATAGGCAATTTTTTTAAAATTTTAATTTAATTTTTTTGTTCCTGAAATTTGATACTATAAGTTAACCATAACATTTTCCCTGTTTTAGTAAATATTTTTTTAAGCTTATTAAGTGATTTTATTGTTAAAAATATTAGTAAAATGCTTTATAATTTGCTATCATAAAATCAATTCAAAAATTTTTAATATTCATTGCTGGTTTTCATGCTATTCAAATTATTCTATAATTATTAGTTTTCAATGGGCTTAATAATATTTTAAAATTAAGTAGAAAAAAAAATTTTAAATTAAATTTCACCTGCTCTTAATATTATCTGGCACAAATATATTCCACCATGAATTTCTTTTTTGTCTTCTAAAATTTATAATCTCTTCATTTTCATCAATAGTTGATGATGAAACATCACCATTAGAATTTTTTCTTCGATCCTCTAATGATTGTGTATCAATACTATCACCATCACCGGTACTAAAACTTTTTGAATAACTTTTGCGACGTCTACGTTCTAATTTTGCTTGCCAAGACATACGACGTCCACGATTTTTTGATTTTATAGCAGAATCCTTATTATCATAATTAATGTTATCATTTTCATTAAATGTTATTTTATTATTTTGTTTCTTTTTATTAATATTTTGATTTTGATTATTTTTATTATCTTCAAAAAATCTTACAACACCTTTTGTTGTTGGTGTAGGTGTTATTACAACATTACCATTATCATTGCTATCATCTAATGAATTATTAGAGCCACCATGTAATTGTGATGTAAATATTATATTTGGATCATTTGATGACCCATCAGATTTTTCTGTTTTAACAATTGATTCATAAAATGATGATGTTTCTTTGGCAATCTAAAATACAAAAAAAAATAATTATTATAATAATTGATATTTGGCTATTAATGTTTAATAGAAGATGTTATCAAACTGAATGAAAAAAATATAAAACAAAAATTTAATAAATTTTTACATGATTAAAGTTCGTGATTATGGGGCGGTTTTTTAATTGGAAAATAAAAATTTAATTAAATGATGAATGAAAAATTCATCCGAATTCATAATTTAATTAACAAAATTTCTTACCTTATCACGTCGTCCTAAAAATGCTACCGTAATTGAACTTCTTCTTTTATTTCCTTTATCAGTAAAACCACGGCCAGCTAATAAACCAATAGCAAGTGAACTACGTCGTGGCGGTTTCGGTGGTAAACCATATGTTTTAGAATTTTCTTGTTTCGAAATTGGTAATGGTGATGGTGATGGAGATACATTCTCTTCATCTGAATGATGTTCTTGTATATCAACTAATGATGGTATTGAACTATTCCATTCTTTTTTTGGTTTATATTTTCCATTTTCAAGTACATTTATCATTTTTATATAAATATAATATTTAACTTAATTATAGAAAATTGAATCACGATTTTATTTTATTTTTTATTATTAATTATAATTAATTTTTTTATTTAAATAAATTAAAATTAAAAAAAATTTATATGTATAATTTAAATCTCAATAATTCGATATTTCTATTAATTACTTTTCGATGTTTTATATTTGAATTCAATTCTTTAAACATTTATTTATTTGGAAGATAGTGATTAATAAAATATGATTTGAAATAAAATGCTATTTTACAAAATGCGCATTTAAATAATAAAAATTATTAAAAAATTATTATTTGAAAAAAAAAATCTAAAATTTTCTTGTATATCACGAAATTTATTTATTTTAGTGTTTTGATTTTCCTTGATTAAATAATGACGAAATTTATGCCTAAAAATTAAAAAGAAAAAAAATTTTCATATAAATAAATTAAAATTCAGAAACTAGCTTTCAATTAAACTTATAATACTTGTTGATCAGGCATTTACAAATCGATTTCAATTGAAATAGAATTTTGTGAATTTTTAATTTTATTTCGTTTCACAAAACATTGTAGTAGCTATAAAAATATTGTATTAAGTAAAATGTAATAGAAAAATTTCTTTACCTTATATAATAACATAAGAGCGGCCATACAACGCTACAACATTCGGAATACACATAACTAAAATTACTCAGTAGGTAATTTTTGAGGCATTCAGGCTGGTTCGGATGAGAGAAGGAAAAGGAGAGATTCGGCGGCAGCACAACGAGCCAATGTAGCCTAACAACGCACACAAAGGAATGCGTAAACCTTATTTATTCTCAGATTATTCAGTATATCTATCTAGTTATTACCAAATACCTTCCGCAATGAATGCAATATTTATCGATTTAAATATATGTATATATATTCAAAAAACAAAACGTATAGAAAGACTTTTTTTATATAAAACCCTACATATGCAATCATTATTAAAAACTAAACAAATAATTCAAATATCTCCAAATAGACATTCGGCATCCAACAAAACTAAGACAAAAGATTTACAAAATACCTAAAAAAATTTATATACTTATATCATTTTCGAAATATACAAAGCAGTCTATCATGTTTGGCGTAAAAATTCGCACATTGGAAGAACAATTGGGAAGTCAATGACGAAAATGTAATTTCTAACTTCCGACACTTAAAATATTTAAAGTTGCCAGAAACTTAATGCCAAATTATTGGCAAGTGTTAGAAAACGTTTGGTGGAACTATCCTATAAGAGTATGAACAATTTTTTTTGTATTTTTATTCTGCAGAAAAGCTGAAGTTACTAAAGTAACGTAAAAAGTGTGTTTGCTACTCTAATTTTTCTCTTATAAGTCGCTGTTCTAGCAAATGTGCGATATATGACTTTATACATATATGTATATGTAACATGTAATAGTATGTATGTATGCATGTTGAATTCGTAATGCTGTTGATTCTTTGAATAGAAATAATTAAGTGCACATGTACTCGATATTTTGTTATAGGAAATAAATCCGAAAATAAAACATATCCGAAAAATAATTAAAAAATTAAAAAAAAAATTAATTAGATTAATTTTTTATCTCAAAATTTGTCATGTTTTAGTTTTATCGTAAATTTTTTTTATAATAAAAAAAAATTTTTTACATTTACTTTAAAGGATTATCTTTCTATTTCAAAATAGACTCACAGTTCACATTAAATTTATTACGTATATATATAAACGTATATATATATATAGATGGCGCATTAATCAATTGTCAAGGTATGATTAATGTTGTTTACTGTAATAATTTTTTTTTTGGTTATAAAAATTTTGCTACATATTACCTTTATCAGCCAATAAATATTATACTTATATATAGGAATTAAAGATATTGCAAACAAACATCGTAAACTAATTACAAAAAGAAAGAGAGAAACATTAAATGTTATTACTTATACACATACATGTGTATAACAGTCGTAAGTATATTCGAGAATTTAATTAAATCAATAAATCAGCGATTTTATTATGGAAAAAAATACTTTAAACTTTTGATTATTAAACCAAAAAAAAAACAAAAAAATTTAATTTCATAACAATGACCTAAAAATGACTTTTTTTGTGTTTATGTCAAATTTAAATAATGTTTTATATTCTATAATTTTTTTTTTGCTTTCAGATTACAGGAGCTTACTGGTAAAATTTACGATTACAGACAGTGATACCCCAGAATAATTATTTACATAGAGCAAAGAAAAATGTATTTATTGAATTAAATGCCTATTCAGAACAGTTCCCCCTTTTTGAACTAATTTTTCGAAAAATGACAATTATTTAATATTATCGGAAAATGCTATATTATATAACGGACAAATTTATACGAGTATTATATTGTACAAAAAGCAGAGTATATGAACAATATTTTATAAACGAGTAATTTTGGCGAATCATTGTGAATGGAGAATCTTTGGAGAATGCTATTATGGAGAATCAGTGGAGAATGCTATTGGAGATTTTTTATGAAATAGCTCTTAAACTGAAAAAAGCAAATACAACATTTTTTATAAAACACATAATTCCGTTATTTTACATTTATATACAACAGAGCACTGTAAATGAATTTGATTACAAGTGAGAATTCTAAACAATTAGTTAATTAAATTTGGGTCTTAATTTTAGGTAATTCCATGAGCTGAAAATGTATTATTCGGCAGATGTTTACAATTTATATCTGACATGGCTTGAAAAAAGAATTTAAAAAAAAATTCTACATATCCAGCATCTACTGTATTTTATTAATAAATATTATAATTATTGAATTTTGATATATACAAGATGTTTCGTCATAGATCACACCACCCATATATTTTTTGCTGATTACACACGTGATGGCGAATTTAAGGTTTTTAAAGAAAAATTTATGAGATCTATAAGCTTAGCGGTTATAATAACATTATAAGTTAGATTATAAGAAGGTTAATGTACATGAATACCTACATAATTAGAATATTTAAAGAATGTGCGTAAAATAATTTGTGAGACATTTTATAAATTATAAAAATATTTGTATGTAAAATATTGAAAATTTAAGTTAATGGCGTTAGATGGTGTTAGTATGTAAGCCTTATTATATTTAAGTCAATGTATATTTTGTATAACAGTTTATATAATATTACACTTGTGTTACTCCTACTTATAGTATTTCGGCATATTAAATTCATTTTATAATTGAACTTCTTAATGGTAATGAAAATTATGTAATAAATTAATTTAGCAATTATTAATTAAGTACTTATTATTAATTAATATATTAATGAAAACATCATAAACTCTTATAATTAACAAATTGTTCAATTTGCTATCGGAAACAAGTGTTTCGAATTTTTATTTATTCACACTTACAAGTGCTTATAATTTCGTAACAAAATATTCTATTATACAATATTAATTTGCATTGTTAATTTATAAAGTACAAAATACTTATATATACAAATTGCATAATGAAAAATTGACCAATTCATGTCGTTAATTACCGATAACTTGTTTTTAATGAGTTGGTAAACAAAAATGTTTGTAATATGATTGATTGCTATACAATTGTTTTTTTTTGTTTGTATATTATGATAAATTTCTTCAACTGTAATATGCACACATAAGTATGTATATAGTTTATATACAATTTAATTGAAAAATTCAAATGTGCACTTATTGTTAACAAGTGAAAGGGTAAATAATTAACAAAATTTTTGAATTATACACGACGTATCATTTATTAAAGTTCTAGGAGTCAGATCTACAAGTCAATATTTAAAGTTTCCAAAGTGTTATGCACCACAATAAGTACAGCGCCTACTCATGAATTTTAAAAAATTTTATAGAATTGTAACATTTTTGTAAGAAACGCAATATTAATTTGATAATTCCTATCCCCAAATTTCTATTGTTTCAACCGAGAACTTAATCATATTCCGCATAATATTCATAATAACAATTTCGAAAGTTTTCCATCGTTTTCATATAGAAATGCGTCCTAATGTATAAATGAAATGAATGTTTCTGCGTAAAATTAAAAACAAAATAATTCCCAGTTAATTATGCCCTAGACTAAAAGAATACCCGAGAACTTTCGTTACACAAATTTTTATTGCATAAGTAATAAATATTATAAACAATTGCAAAATCATCCTACCCTATTCAAGACCCATTCAAATTCAATTAGCTTTACAAAGTAGATTGAATTTAGTTAGTTTGTGTATAACACTTATAGTTAACAATATTGATAAAAATTATTTTATTTATATCTCAATTTGAATAAAATATGAGTTATTATAAAATATTATGTGTAATAAATTTAAATATAATATTATGTATTTTAGAAAATTAATTTTCTTTAAGTAAGTATATATACAAAAAATCATTTAGATTAAATAGATCAAGTGACAAATATTTTGTATTTGTAATAATAATTATAGATAAGTAATGATAACAATGTTCAGGCGATATCGCTATCTACAGCCTAAGATTAATTATAATTTATTTCATGGCATACACGCTTCAGTATTATACGGCGAACTTGAAATAAATTAGGACAAATATGTATTATATTGATAAATGTGGGGCTTATGTAAAAAAAAAAAAAATCAAGTATCAATTTGTTAAATAGCTACTTACGTATATACATTGTACTTGAATTTCTACTTGTATTATGAAATTGAAATTGAAATAATGAAATTTAATCATGTGAATTTTAAATTGTTTTATTGAAGGAATTTATTGTGACCTACTCCAACGATATATTTTTGCTACAGTGATCGAAAGTTGTGTTAAATAAGTCCGAAGATTTCTATATTATAATCATGAGAGTTGCGTACAGTTTACATACGCTAAGGGATGAACTTTCTTCTTCTAATTATCATAATGATGAACGCACGGGGCGTTTTAAAATTTATAAATTAATCAAACTATTTACTCTGAACTATTAATTTCAAAGTCCAATATTATAATAATAAAAAACTACTTTAAAGAAGCTTAACAAACTATTAATAATATAGCTCGTGTGTACTTATTTGCACATTATTATTTATTTTTTAATAAT